AAATCCTCACATTAGATCTGTACAACCTCCCAAGGAGTGAACACTCATCCCCTGTACCAGCCACCTGTCCACATCTTTAATGTCAATGAGATGTTTTACTTTCATAAACAGACTGATTATAGCTCTGACTTTGAATCACAATTTTTTAAGTTGACATGGATAACAGCTTTTCAGGTTATTTTTTAAAATGACAATGACTAGATAATAAAAAAGAATCTCAACTGGGTTATCACTACAGAATATCTCATTACAACTCCTATAGACAATAATGAATGGACCAGCTATCTTACTATCTCAGAATTTATTCTATTTTATTTTATTTTATTTTATTTTATTTTATTTTAGACACAGCTCTGCCATCAGGCTGGAGTGCAGTGGTGCAATCTCGGCTCACCGCAACCTCCACCTCCCGGGTTCAAGTGATTCCCCTACCTCAGCCTCCTGAGTAGCTGGGACTACAGGTGTGCACCACCACACCTGGCTAATTTTTTGCATTTTAGTAGAGACTGGGTTTCACCATGTTGGCCAGGACGGTCTCAAACTCCTGACCTCATGATCTGCCCACCTTGGCTTCCCAAAGTGCTAGGATTACAGGTGTGAGCCACTATACCCAGCCAGAAATTTTAAAGTAATCCGGAGCATTCCTCTACACATCACACCTCTTTTTACCAAAAATCATCATGTCTACCCTGACAACAATAGCACCAGTACTTTAGGAGTGCATCAGTATCATACACAAAGTCATTTCCAGACTATCCTCTAGCAGGTCAAATCAAAATATAAGAAGGACACCAGTTGGCATCAGTCTTTAAAACATAGCATTTTTTTTTTAATTTGAGACAGAGTCTCACTCTGTTGCCCAGGCTAGAGTACAAGGACACGACCTCGGCTCATCACAACTTCCACCTCCCAGGTTCCAGCAATTCTTCTGCCTCAGCCTCCTGAGTAGCTGCGATTACAGGTGCCTGCCACCACACCTGACTAATTTTTGTATTTTTAGTAGAAATGGAGTTTCACCATATTGGCCAGGCTGGTCTCAAACTCTCAACCTTGTGATCCTCTTACCTTGGCCTCCCAAAGTGCTGGGATTACAGGTGTAAGCCACCACACCTGGTTAACAGGAGGTATAATTTAGCTCTCTTCCAGATGGTCTCACTTTACACCACCCCTCCATACCTGAAACTGAAGGAACAATCCCATGACAATGGAAAGCCTTCAGGTTTTCTGAATCCCATGGCTTCCCCTCACTCCTGCATTGTCATGGGGCCTAACTAGCTCATCACCACTTCTTATTACACTCCGCTCACCAAAGTCCTATCCTTTGGGATTTACTATATTCTGAGTGACATTAAGGTCAGCTCTATTCACTGATCTACCAAAAAATAATGGGCTAAGAGAACAACTGTGGGAAGCCACTTTTTACCTCTAAAATGCACTGAAATCATTAAGGTATTGGCAAGGCAAACCCAAGGAAACCATTTTTATGCAATTTTAATTATAGTATAGATTTTATATACTATATATGGTATAGTGTTTTATTTACCTTTTTGTGCTGTTATAGAATCCTTATATCTACTTTACTAGCTGCTTACAACATATATACGATTTACACCATAATTGACTTAAATATTTCCTTTTTGTTGTGGGAGTTATTTCTATTATTTCCCTATTATTAACATCAGCAAACATCTTTATGCATAAAGAACTTCTGTTTTTAAATTAGTAAACATTTTACGCATAAAGAACTTCTCTTTTTAAATTCTTTAGAATAATAGCAGCTAGGACATCTTAAAGAAAACGAGATTTTTTTTTATATTTTTTTAATGTCAGTTGCATAATTCATGCTCAAAGGGCCATTATCAATTTTATATGACCTCTGATTGTCTTTCTATCACAAGTTTATCCTAACAAATGTTCTTCTCATACACCATGGTCGGGAGTATAAGTTGGCACTATTGCTTGACAAGGCAATTTGAGATGTTTCTGAAAGTTTATAATGTCCAATACCCTTTGCCCTTAGAATTCCAATTCAAAAAATTGGTACTTTGAAATACTGGCATATCCACCCAAAGAAAAGCGAACAAGGAAGTTCATAACAGCATTATTTGTGGTAGCAAAGAAACAGAAATCAATCTAATGATTCATCAAGGGAAGAATATTTCAATTATGATAAATCAAAATAATTGTTTCTGTTTTAAAGAAATTATATGCGTGTATGTGTATGTGTGTCCATATATATTTGCCATGCATAGGAAAAAGTCTGGAAGGATCTACTGGCAATGTTTACCTAGAGAGAGAGAAAGAAACATTATATTGGAAAAGGAGGTTGCAGGATGGTAATGAGGGAGAAACTGTAACTTTCACTCTGTAGGTCTGTATGTATTTGGACTGTTTACAGTAAACATATATTCAGATAATACTTCTATAATTAAAATAACTTTTTAAATAAAAAATAAAATATGTGAAATGAGTCCAATCTCCTAACATGCAAGTGGAGAAAAAAAAAAAACGATCTTGCCACCCCCTTCTTTTATTTCACTTTCACTCTAAATAACATGGAAGGCCAGCAATACATTCCATGATCATCTTTATTTAATGATCATCTGCTTGTGACCATTAGATCAATGGATGGATTTAAAACAAAAATCCAGAAGAAAATTAGCACTGAGAGAGAGGAAAATAGATATCTGTAAATGTAAAAACATTAAGAATGAGACTAAGAAACCATGTATTTTAAACAATATACATACCAAATCATGAATTATAATAAAGTAAATAAATGAAATCCTCTTGTATGTATGCCACCTTTTCATAGGTTTTAACCTTTACCGTAGATTTACTGCACAAGAAACTGTTGGATATTTATTTAAGCCTACAGGTCTCAAGTATACTCCTCTGCAGATCATCTGGATCAGAATCATAGATGGCATTTACTGAACATCAAAAGCTTAGGTCCTAGGTGCATCTTTAATCTAAGGGTAGAGGGTGGAAATCTGAAGTTTCAAAAGGTACCCCAGCTGACTTGTGAATTCCCAAATCTAAGATCCACTTCCTCAAACTTTCAGGCAAACTGACCATCATAGTAGTGATGGGAATAGATTCATTCCATAAATTAAAAGAAAAAATTCTTATTTGACTTTCTGAAAAATAAGATCATAATTCATTTTCTAAAAATCAAGCATTCTAACCTAAACAAAATGCAATCTGATTTGTATTTGTGTACCATTCAAACAGTGACTATATTCATCACCACTCTGTGCCCAGCACCCAGTGTCTGGCACACAGTAGTCATTCAATACATATTTACTTAATTAAGATGATTTGGAACAGGAGCTCCTTACATATAGAAATGACTCTGTGTGAACTAGAGCTGGCCAGGAGGAGGGAAGAATGTGAGACAGAATGAGATAGGATGGTTTCTCAGGTACAGAGACAGGGCTCTGTAACTGATAAAATTGTGATCTCAGTGACATCACAACCATTCCAAGTCTCACGTCACTTTTCTATAGGGTAAGATTGTTTCTGTGAAATTAACTGCCAATAAATCATTTAAATGCAGCTTGAAATGTTGACACATATAGTCTAAGCAGTTTTTTAATAAAATCCCTTGGGTGCTCTCATTTCAAAGTTAATACTATAAAGACAAAGAAACATTTTGGAATGGAGATATTACCTTCACCACTGATTGTCATTCTGTGATTAAGTTTGAAACCACTTGGAAGAGGATAATCCATTTGAAAGCAAAACAAGAAAGATAACCAATAAGAATTCAAACTTTCAGTCGACAGGTTTTGTAAATTTTTATCATGCCAGATTCCAAAATCTATCATTTACGCCAATTACTTTACCTAACATATTCTGGAATGATACCTTATATGATACCACTAAATTTGTGGCATTGCAATCCAAAAAACCATGCAAGATATCTTTTTGAGATTTTCAGCAATAGTTTATAGAAAACTCAACTACAAGATGGTGAGGCACCCAAACCCATGATTTAAAAGACCCAAAAGACTTTTCTGAGGACAGAGACATTAAATACAAAATGTGCCAAATTTAGAAAAAAAAATCTACTTACTACTATACATGGCCTTCATTTCTAGAGCTGCAAATCAGTCTTAACTACAGCAAAGGGTCATGGAGAGCAGAGAGCAGCTATTAATCTGCATGCCCACCTCTAAAACGCTGATCTATCAGAGCAGGCCATCATGTGTCTGAATCTGCGTGAGGAACCCCCTAGGCTGAAATGGGAAACACAATGAAGGGTGGCCTTAGGATTTTAGGAGAAATGCTCATGAACCTAGAAGAAAGTCAAAAGTTGCTCTGACCTCGGAGGGAAGAAGGGGTGGCCTACAAAGGCAGGAAATCACCCTGAGACAGGGGAAGTCAAAAGACCTGTTGCTTGGATTGTGCCACTGCTGACCATCCTTAGGGAGAAGTATTTTTAAATACCTCCAGGAAAGGGGGTCCCTCAGTTACTCTCATACCCAGTCTCTGGTACACCTGGTTCCAAGGCCTCAATGGAGGCAACTACTGAAAGATGATCTTTTGGAAACCTTAAAGAGTGACAGGAAGAGGGGTAAAAAAGCTTTGCCCGCCTTGAAGAACCCAGTTGGCAGTGAGCAGCACCAGCGTACACAGGCCAGCGGAGGAAGCTTTGAGAGCAACAGGATGCAAATAACCACAAGCAAGAATAGCAGCAAAACTGAACTATGGCACCACCTCGAGGATGAAGCAGATGCAGCAACAGTGGTAGAAATAAATGATGCCAGAGTATGGGAGAACAGCCACAGTGGCAAAGGAAGGCAAAGCTCAAATAGCCTCCGTGGAGGGCCAGGAGCATCCTCAGCGTTCCTGGAAATTGGTACCAACCTGACTTGAAATCCCAGAAGCAAGAGTGGTGTCAGAGACCACAGCAATGTCACTCACTCATGCTCCTGACCATGCTCATGGCTGGCATGGCCTGGTAAAACAGGCTTGCAATAAGAACATGCACTCACATTCTTACGGAGCCACGGTGCTTTTGACAACTTCATGAAGGTCAAATGAGGCTTAAAACTTCTGCTCTCTCCTGCCCGGATGCCTTTTTCTTGAAATGTCCTATTTGCAGTCTCTGAAGAAAATAATGAGAAACAAAGAAATGCTGCTACAATATTTTCACAGTTGTCTTTAATTGCAAAAAAATACCAGCTCAAACAATAACTAATTATTTTACAGTGAAAATTATTGTATAGACCTGTTTAAGATACTTTCTTTAAAAGAGAGCAAAAATTCATAATGTGATGATAACAAATGCTATATGACAGTTAAATGTCCAGTGATTTCACACCTACGGTAAAACTCACAAAAACAATTTGAAAGGCTACCTAATAAACAGAATAACTGTTGGGCTGACATGACGCTGATTTTCACTGAACATCCCAGTGGTTTCCATAAGTATAAAAAAGGACTAGCTCATCTGAAACCCTTCATGTCTAAAACTTCTGCTTCCAAGATAAATCAGCAGAAACGTTCCCTGAGCAACGAGAAACAAACAAGGTAAGCCCTTTGACTGTTCCAGCTTATATCCTTGAGTGTCCAAGGCCTTGTGTAGGAGGTGAAACAGATAAGAGTCCAGCCATTCCTGGGTTGAGGGAAAAGAGCTAAAAGGGACAGAGTAGTTGAGACGTGAGACCTAAACCAAGAAAATTTCAGAGCTCTTCAAAGGGTTCCCCCAGAATATTCAACGGAGTCCTCCTTAACAGTGCATGTGTGCAAGGAAACTATCCTGGGCTGGGGAGAAACATACTCAAAAGGATTAGAGGGAAGAGTGTCCAGTACTCTAATAAGAAAAGGTGAGATCTTTGATTGTCCCAGCTTATATCTTTGAGTGTCCAAGGCCTTGTGTAAGGAGGAGAAACCCAGATGGAGCCCAGAAATACTGTCTGTCCCATTAGCCAGACTGTAGAGACTCAAGTAGAGACTCAAGATTCATGAGACATCAGGTAAAAAGAATAGTCTTGCCTCACTAGTGAAGAATAATTAACTCTGGACTGGTACTCTTCTAGTACCCAAAAAATCTTAGAAGCAAGACCCAAAACAAACAAACAAAAAACTATTTCCAAGTAACTTGTGTACCAGAACAATGCCCAAGGATATTTATAGAAATACAAAACAATCCAGCACCCAACAAGGTAAACTTTACAATGCCTGGCATCTAATCAAAAACTACTAGGCATGCAAACTAACTGGTCAATATGGCCCTCATTTTTGAAAAGATTAATCAATTAATCAAAAGTGACTCAGAACTGACATAGAGGTTAAAATTAGTACATAGGGCATCAAAATAGTTATTGTAACTGTATGTCCTAGGTTCAAAAAGTCAAGTAGAGACATGGAAACTATTAAAATCCAAATTCAAATCAACTTTATAGAGAGATGGAAACAGCAATTTCTGAGAAAAATTAACTGGATGGAAGTAACAGGTGAGACACAGCAGAGCAAAATATTGATAAATTTGAAAACAATGCAATAGAACATAAAAGAAAACACACTAAAAAAAAAGAAAATGTAAAGAAAAAAGAATAGAGAACAGAATTATCAGTGAGCCCTGGGACAATGTCAAGTTGTCTAATGTGTCTGTAACTGAAGTCCCTGAACAAGGGCAAAGGAGACGGAGTTAGAGAAAATACATGAAGAAATGATGGTGTTGCAGAATGAGAACTGCCACAAGCACGATGGAAAGCAATCTGGGTAGCAACTATTAAAATTTAAGCTACACCAGCATTTTGAGCTAGCAGTTCGAATTCTGGGAAAATACAAAAGAAATAAAAGCATCAGTATACAAAATTCTATGAAAAAATATTTATTAAAGCATTATCTGAATTCACACAAACTGGAGATAACTTTCATCAATAAAGAAGTGGTTGATAAATTACTATATGGCCATCATGAAGGAAATAAAAGGAATTAATTAGAACTAACACATAGACATGAGAAGATGGCCATGATCCATTAAGCAAAAAAAGAGAACTTACATGGTTATTACATCTATAACATGGTTCTCTGGAATGTAAGAGAGAGAAATAAAGAAAATAGCCTATCTATTTTTACTAACATGGAAAAATAGTATAGAATACCTTGGGATGTGGTTTGAGATTGAGTAGAGGTAGAAGAGACCAGAGTTATACATAGAAACATACATGGTTTGAATTGTTATAATGAACATATATTACTTTTGAATAAAAAAATTAAAAAATAAAATAGGCACAATAACAAAGGCACTATATGTTAACAACATGACATTGCTATAATTTCACAAACATCGAACTAGAATGCACAAAGAGGAGGACAGAATCATTTGGCATATATGTAAAAAAATCATACTTTGCAAAGATCAAGGGTAAATAAATTTTCACATGGTTTTTTTTATCCAAAAATAGGTGGGGCTAATACTATTAAGTCAATTCTAAAGATATGAAAACTGGCACACAGGAATGACTCAGAATTTTATCAGATAAATTTAACAAAGATATTGAAATAATTAAAAAGAATCAAGCAGAAATTCTCGAGTTGAAAAATGCAACTGACATGTTGAAGAAGGTATTACAATCTCTTAATAGCAGGGCCGAACAGACAGAAGAAAGAATTAGTGAGCTTGAAGACAGGCTATTTGAAAATAGTCAGAGAAGACAAAAGAAAAAAGAACATAAAACAATGAAGACCACCTACAAGACCTAGAAAATTGTTTCAAAAGGACAAATCTAAGAGTGATTGGCCTAAAGAAGAGTTAGAGAAAGAGATAGGGGTTGAAAGTTTATTCAAAAGGATAATAACAGAGAACTTCCCAAATCTGAAGAAAGACAGCAATATTCAACTATAAGAAGGTTATAGAACACCATGCAGATTTAATTCAAAGAAGACTACCTAAAGGGATTTAATAAGCAAACACCCAAAGGTCAAGAATAAAGAAAGGATCCTAAAAGCAGCAAGAAAAATCAAGCAAATAACATACAGTGTAGAGCTCCAATATGTCTGGCAGCAGACTTTTCAGTGGAAACTTTACAGGCCAGGAGAGAATATGATGACATAGTTAAGATGCTAAAAGGAAACATCTTTTACTCTAGCATAGCATATCTGATAAAAATATCCTTCAAACATGAAGGAGAAATAAAGACTTTCCCAGAGAAACAAAAGCTGAGGGATTTCACCAACACCAGACCTGTTTTATAGGACATGCTAAAGACAGTTTTTCAATCTGAAAGAAAAGGACATTAATGAACAATAATAAATCATCTGAAGGTAGGAAACTCACTAGAAATAATAAGCACAAAGAAAAACATGGACTATTGTAACACTGTAATGAGGGTATATAGATTAGTTCTGTCAGAAGAAATATTAAACAATGAACTAATCAAAATAATAAATACTACAACTCTTCAAGACATATCACTATAAGACAAAAAGAGAAACAACAAAAAAGTGGGAGAACAAAGTTAAGGTGAAAAGTTTTTATTAGTTTTCTTTTTGCTTGTTTATTCAATCAGGGTTAAGTTGACATCACTTTAAAATAATGAGTTATAAGATAATATTTGCAAGCCTCAGGGTAACCTCAAAGCAAAACATATACAACGTATACACAAAAGAATAAAAAGCAGGAAGTTAAGTCATACCACAAGAGAATATCACCCTAACTAAAAAAAGGCAAGAAGAAAAGAGGAAGAGAAAATCACAAAAGCAAAAACAAATGACAAATGGCAATAGTAAGTCCTTACTTAACACTAATAACATTGAATGTAAATAGCCTAAACTCTCCAATAAAAAGACACAGAGTGGCAGAATGGATTTTAAAAAACAAGATTCAATAATCTGGTGCCTGCAAGAAACACACTTCACCTATAAAGATGCACACAGACTGGAAAAAAAAAAAAGAAAAAAGAAATCCTATGCCTTCACTGCTGAATTCCACCAAACATTTAAAGAAGAGCTAATACCAATCCTACTCAAAAAGGAGCAGGAGTGTATATGCTTCTATCAGAAAAAATACATTTCAAGCAAAAACTGTAAGAAGAGACAATGAAGGTCATTATATAATGATTAAGGAGTTAATTCAGCAAGAGATATAACAATTGTAAACATATTTGCACCCAACACTGGATCACCCAGATATGCAAAAGAAACATTACTAGAGCTAAAAAGAGAGACTCCAATACAATAATAGTTGGATACTTCAACACCCTACTTTCAGCACTGGACATATCTTCCAGACAGAAAATCAAAAAAGAAACCATAGACTTAATCTGCACTATACAGACCAAATGGACCTAATAGATATTTACAGAATGTTTCATCTAATGGCTGCAGAATACACATTCTTTTCCTCTGTACATGAATCATTCCCAAGGACAGACCATACGTTAGGTCACAAAATAAGTCTTAAAACATTCAGAAAACTGAAATGATATCAAGCAACTTCTCTGGCCATAACAGAAGAAAACTACAAGTCAATAATAAGAGGAATTTGGGGAAATATACAAAGATATGGAAATTAAACAATATGCTCCTGAATGACCAATGGGCCAATGAAGAAATTAAGAAGAAAACTGAAAAAAATTCTTGAAACAAATGATAAGGGAAACACAACATACCAACAAAACCTATGGGATACAGCAAAAGCTGTACTAAGAGAGAATTTTGTAGTTATAAATGCCTATATCAAAAAGAAGCAAAACTTTAAACAGATAACCTTATAAATCATCCTAAAGAACTAGAAAAGCAAGAGCAAACCCAACCCAAAATTAGTGGGAGATATTAAATATCAAAGCAGAAATAAATGAAAATGAAAAAGAATCCAAAAAAAATAACAAAATGAAAAGTTGCTTTTTTGAAAAGATAAGCAAAATTGACAAACCTTTAGCCAGACTAAGAACAAAGATAGAAGACCCAAACATATAAAATAAGAGCTGATAAATGAGACAGTACAACTGATACCCCATAAATTCAAAGGATCATTAGTGGCTGCTATGAGCAACTACATGCCAATAAATTGTAAAATCTAGAGGACACAAATAAATTCCTAGACACATACAATCTATGAAGATTGAACCATGATGAAATCCAAAACCTGGACAGACC